TTTTTTTTAAATATATATTATATATATATGTATAGATAGATATTTTGAAGAAATAGATAACTATTCTGAGTGTGTTTTTAATGCGAAGATACACAATGTCTGATATCGAATTTGATATGGCTCGTTTAGCAATTCATTGTTACACATGGGGGCGGGGCATTATCGTTATCAATCGAAAGCGAAATGTGGCAGGCATATATAATTATAATTTCATTTGAAATACAGGGTGTCCCCCAATTGTCGCTTTATCGAATTGAAACATTAGAAATCATTTTCTTTTTATTTTTTTTTTTTCTGGGCAGGTTTTTTGGAGCAGTGATATTATATATACACTTTGTTAAACAATACTGTAACTGGTCGTTCATATTTTTAAAAAGATAAACAAAATATTCTAATTCTATTAAAAAGAATGCAATAATATTTGTTTTATGTTTTATCGGTTGAAGCGACTTTTAATGGAACATCATCATCATCATCATCATTATCATGTGAATTTCTTAAACGTGACTTTCAAGAGGTACTTTGAAAACTTTCGATGCTAAATTGGCGTCTGGCAAGGATTGTGGTCTCGCATTGGTAACATTAAAAACAACGTTACTCGGGCCACGAAAGCTAACTTCGATTAAAAAACTAGCATCAGCAGCTGGTACATTATTAACACGATTGGTACTTAAATCCGGTGAGCTAGTTCTTAATTGACTTTTCTTTGGCTTGTAATCATTTTTAATAACCCTCTCAGCTTCCGATTGTAATTTATTATCAAGCCAATGAACTTTGTCAAAATCTTTCGTACCACCAACGGTGTGTCTTCTTTTTATTGATCTTTCAGGCATCCCATTTTTTCTCTTCAATTTTGTAGCACTGTCCTTTCGAAAGGATTGTCGTCTTTTACTAATATTACATTCAGTTTTTTCCGTCTTGGTCAATGATTCAGATCGTTTCAATTTACTATTAGGTGATTCCGATCTGTCCGAATGTTTGTTCAAACTTTCCGAACGTTTTAATTTACTATTAGTCGGTGATGCCAATCTTTCTGAATGTTTGTTCAAACTTTCGGATCTTTTTAATTTGGAAAATGTATTTTCCGATCTCTTGTTCAACGATTCGGATCTTTTTAATCTTGATCTTTCCTCGTTGTTCGTCAATATCTCGAATTTTTCTAATTTGTTTGAATAATTACTGTCGAGTTCGTGTGCTTTTTTATCATCCGTTTTATTTTCCGATTCGTTTGTTGATTTGCGAATATTTGACGATCCACATCCAACATTTTCCTTCGTAGTTGAATTATCCGATTCTTCTTTCTTTTTATCTTCATCTTTCTTGGTTGAATCTGTTATAATAGTAGCGTTGTTTGTTTCTTTTACATGATTAAGAACAACATTTTTCGTTTCCAATTTGATTGCATTTCGATCGTTGTCCGGTTTTGTCATTGCATCTGGATCGTTTACTTCGGTAACTGTTGAATCTGTATCTTTTTCTAATGCCTCCTAAACATTCATTTATTATTATTAATATCAAAAGATATTATCTTAATCTTAAACTGTTAATATTTGAAATTGAATCTTACGTCTTTAGCTCGAAGAAAATGATTTTTGTCGATCGATGATTTATGAAGACTAGGATCCCGGTAAACTTTTTCTGTTGGTTGATTCTTTTCCGAATGGTCCTCCTCAACCTTGATCTTTTTTTGATCATCTGAATTATCTACATTATCGAGTGCTGCAGTTTCTATGGACGTTTGAACTATTTGACTTGATGGATTCACGAGTGACCTCCATTTACGATCGAAGGTTGTCGTAAGGCTGGTCAATAAATCGCTACCTGAAATAAAACAAATTAATTTCAATGAATATTAATTTAAAAAAAAAAGTGATTAATTTGTTTTTAATATTTTTAGTGTGAAAAAACATTCAAAGCACCGTTTAGTTATTTTTTAATTTTTTTTTTTTTTTTTAGAAAAGTATGTGTGAAATATGTTGGATTTTACATCATCATTAAAAATATTCTGCACGAAATATAAATAATTTGAAATAAATAAATGAATCAATCAATGAAACGCACAAATCATTTAAATGAAAACAAAAAGAAAAAAAAAAACGAAAACAACAGTTCTTCCGTACCTAAAAATGAATCACCTGTGAAAAAAATCAAATATACCATATTTCGAAAAAAAAGACAATATAAATAATCAAAAAAAAAAAATGATGTGGTGAACGATGACGAAAAAATATAAACAAAACAAAAAATTAACAACACAAAACGATAACAATAGCATAAGCGAACAGAAACAAAATATTGTACAAAATTGGTGACTGATATACATATATATATATATTCACATAATGATAATTATTATTCGCTAAATATCGATCATATTTAAAAACGCAACAAGGAGCGGCCATTAGTATGAAAGAAAAATTATTTTATAAATCATAATACCTCACGCATTACAGACGCATCCGCCATTTTACCAATTAAAGCTAACGATTTACGATTATTAAGCTTCACACTTATATGCATAATTATTTATAAAAATGTGACGAATGACAATTACATTTGTTTAACACAAACACACATACGTATTTTTCACATAAAATTATTCCATTGATTTTGAATTATTTAATGTTGCATTTGTCACATTTTGATATATGTTTCAATACTTATTACATAATCGATGATATTGATAATAAAAATGCATGTAATAATAATAATAATAATAATAATAATGATAATATACTAATAATAAATATTAAAACTAATAACAAATAGAAATGTTTGTTTTCTTTGCTATTAATCAAACGAAATACATAACGATTTTGTAATTAATAGTAATAATAATAATAATAATAATAATAATAATAATAATAATAATAATAATAATAATAATAATAATAATAATAATAATAATAATAATAATANAATAATAATAATAATAATAATAATAATAATAATAATAATAATAATAATAATAATAATAATAATAATAATAATAATAATGATAATAATAATAAAACGATGACATTAACAATAATAATAATAATAAAAATAGCAACGACAACAATAATGATGATGAAGATGATGGTGATCAGTATAACAATAATAATGATGATAACAACAACAATAACAATAATAATAACAATAATAATAGCACTAAAAGTAGCTGTAAAAGTAGTAGCTGCAGCTGTAGTAGTGATAAGTGTAATAACATTAGTGAAATGATTAACAAAAAAAAAAACAATTGTAAGCATTTTGGAAAGGATAATAAATCGCAGCGGGACGTAAACGATATAAATAAAATAAAAATAATAATAATAATATTAAAAATAACAGAAAAATATATTACTGTTCATTTAAGCTTATACAATTTAAAAAAAATTAAAAAAATAAATATATATATATATATATTTGTATTTTTAATTTGAATTTCATTAAAATATAAGCATACAACACATGCCCGCGTACTTGTTTGTCATACACATGATGATTTTCTTTTGCAATTTAATTACCACCGAATATATTTGAGATTGATTTTAATTACTGACGAATAATGATAATTCTTTTGTAAAAAAAAAAAATGTAAAATAATTTAACGATATCTTTGCACAACGATTTATATTCGTATTTTCCATATAACGTCATATCCTCTCCATATCGCTAATTACTGAGAGAGACATATAGTGCGAGAAACACACACATACACTCATCACGCGCACACCCACGTGAAAAAGGAAAAAAAGAGATCAAAAGATTGAAGAAAAAATATATAAAGGACAGAAATATCGAATACTAGAATTTGTTGAAAAGAATCAGGTTGGGGATAAGAAAAAAAAAAAAGAAAAGAAAGAGTGATAGAAAGGTGTTTAAGCGGATTAAAGTTTAGAAAAACAAAAAACCAAAAAAAAAAAAGAAAGAAAAAAGATAGAATTCGCATGTGTGTCGTGTTGGCACGGTTAAAAGACAAAATAAATAAATAAATAAATAAAAAAATAAATAAATAATAATCATTAGAAGAAGAAGAAGAAGAAGAAGAAGAAAAAGAAGAATATAAATTAAAAAAGAATAAGAAGAAAGAGAAAAAGAAGAAAAGATAAAAGCCATTCGAATGAGGCAACTGTCAGCAGCAGCTCCTTGGACACCGATGATGCTCTGTGGTGGTCCTCTGATGGATTTACCTCGGAGAAATCTGTTTAAAGTCTTGGAGGACGCACTGGGCCCTGACCCTGATGACCCTGCTGATCTTGACACCTCTGAAAGGTGCCCTGGTATGAAGGACTGGGTTGCTGCTGACGCTGCTGCTGTTGTTGCTGTTGTTGCTGCTGCTGCTGCTGCTTGGCTCGTTGTTCTTGAGTTTGTTGTTGGCACTGTTGCTGCTGCTGTTGCTGCTGCTGTTGATGCTGTTGAGATTGATGTTCTGTAGAGTGATCTGGTACTGTTAACACCGGTTGATGCTGGATCAGCCGATGATGAGAGCGATGTCTTCGTGGTGGTGCCACTGGACCCTGTGGTACCGTGTAGGTGGGACGATATGTAGCACCAAAAACCCGGGCTTGTTGTATGCCTACGTACGTTCAACGTATTTCGGATTTGTCATAATCGGAACCGAGTGCAAAGAAGGATTGGCTGCGACAGGCGCGATAAATCATCTCTCCCCTTTTACATCTTCTTTCTATATTTAATGTTAGATGTGTGTTTTTTTTTCTTTTTTTTGTTTTGTTTCGTTGCAGTTAAACCCTTCCGCCTCGGTCCAAATTAAACCGATACGTTTTTTTGTTTTGTTTTGGTATTTGATTTTTAATAGTCTTCCTTCACGTGGAAGATGATCATTGAAATCAATTTGTTCCTTGTTTGTTTTTTAATCATTGATTGTGGAGTTGAATCCTTTCTGATTTCAATGATCATATATTATTAATATTGAAAGTATAAATAGTCGTAGAGACTGAGGCGGATAGGCAATAAAAAAGGCAGGAACTTGACAAAATATGAGCACAGGCGTGTAAGCAGCCAGGCAAACAAGCAGGCAGGCAGTAAACGACGTACTTCGATGCTCGTTGCTTCCAAAAGCGCAGTAAATGTTTCATTTCAATTTTCAAATACCTATATATATATATAAATGTATATCTATATTTATATATATATATCTATAAAATATATATTTAAAAATTGATATTCTTGACGAACTATCGATTTTAAACATTTCCAAACCTGCATGCACGTTTATTATACGCAAAAATTTGAACAAAATCATTGACTGTAAGACTTTTCTAATTCTATGACTAGATTTTTAATTCGTTAATTAAACTATTATTAATATTGTTACATATATATATTATATAAAAACTTTGTCTATAAAATATTTGTCTTTTGTTTTGACAAAAATTATTATTTCAAATGGCAAAAGTTATATTACAAATCAAATGATTTATGGTATTAAAAATTTGTATTAAATATTGTTTGTTGATAACCAAAACTTATTTATGTGTAAATATATATATATATTTATTATTATTATTATTATTATTATTATTATTATTATTATAATTAACGATTAGAATTATTGATGTCAAGATTACTGGTAAGAAAAATGTTTATGTATAATAATCAAAGAAATAAATTGATAACACCATGCTTCGATTGACATGCTACGCTAATTTTCGTAACATTGCTGATAACAAAGCAAATTTCTAATTTCGCGTTACTGTAACTGAATAATTGTATAAAATATATGTATAAAAATTAATTAAAAAAAGATTTTGCTTTTAAAAAAAAAAAAAAAAACATAAAGAAGAAGAAGAAGATAATAATAATAATAAATAGATAGATAGATAGATAGATAGATAAAAATAAATGTGTACGAGATCAAAAACTTGGATGTATATGTAATAGATGTATAGAAATTTCGTTTGTCTGCTTTGTAAAAAGAAAATGGTTGCTTTATATAAGAACGTGAAAAGAAGTAGATAAAAGTACCTAGAAAGTTTTTTGTTAATAGTGAGAATCTTCTGAGTCCAGTGTAGAAAACATGATCCGGCTACACTCACCGACCATCAGAAGCAAGATTACAAAGAGAAAAATACAGAAAGAGAATATAAATTTATAAGATAAACGAGAAAACACGCGAGCATTTCATTCATTTAGCAATTAATCCACGTCACATTTACTTCTAACAATTATTCATTTATACGTTAATTAATAATCAATTGTTTATAAACATCATGAAAAAAAATTAATATATTCGACATTTTTTTCATATTTACAAAAAAAATAGAAAAAATAAATAAAAATCGCACGAAATTTACATTTTAACATTTTCAATAATTTTCTTTTCATAAATTATCACATCATTATCATTTTTATACTTCACTTTGGTCATCTATCTAAAAAAAATCTTATCTTATAAACAAACATTATTTAAATATTTATATATATATATTATTAATTAAAGTGTCGTTTTTGTATTACATAATTTAAAGTAAATCTTTGAACTTACGGGTGTACATATTAGATCTGTACAGATTTTGGATACATCCTGATCAGAGATAATGAAGTGCCCAAAAATCAAACACGTTATCAGTCCAAACCAGTTGTATTATCGCGATAAATCGAAAATAGTTTTAATAGAGAAAGAGAGAGATAGATAGATAGATAGATAGAGAGGGGAAAAAAAAAATTAAAAATAAATAAATAAATAAATTTAATCTAAAAAAGACAATTCAATACTAACCATCATCCGATACATCTCCAGAAATTCCTCTCCTTTGTTGGGACGGTGATGGCGACGAATGTGGAAGGTTGTGCACTTCGTGAAGCGAATCCAAGCTGCCGTAACGAATAGGCGGTAGGCAAATAGATTCTAAAGACGGCTAAAAATGAAAAATGAAAAAAAAGAACAAAAAAACAAAAAACAAAAAAAAAAGAAAGAAATTTCAAGGTATATTAAAAATTGTATGGAAATATTTTACCAAAAAGTTGTAGAAATTTAAATATATATATATACATATATATTAATGCATAAGAGAATGCATTGATCTCACCTCTTGATCTGTTTTAAACTTTTTGATAACACCATTATTTATCTTCTCGCCTAATACATTACTAAGTTGATTAGTAGCTTGTGCTTTCTGACGTGTCGTTGGTTGTTGTTGTACAGCTATCGACAAAGGAGTAGAAGCCATTCTTGTGGTAGATCTTGATCTGGCATGTTTCTCCGATAAATCAGCTAATGATTTTTCAGCCAACCTTTGATTCACATTAGTTAGTCGTCCGGATAGAAAATTCGGTATCACTGTACTGTCAACTATACTATCTAAGAGATCATCATTTTCCATTTCACGTTTTGCCAATTGCCATTCCTTATCTATTCTTCTTCTTTCCTCTTCACGCTTCTCTGCTTCGCGTCTCTGCCGATGCTGATCTCTCTGCAACATAGCCTTTGTCTCCTGTTCAAACCTTCGTATTCTTTCTTGGGTCGTTGCACTCAGTCCGGCATACGTTCTTATAGCTACCTCATCGTTACTCTGTTTATTCTCATTGGATGCATTAGATGTCATCGAATTTGTATCCAAGCAACTCAAAGCAGCCTCGCTCAAAGGCCTCGACGATGATTCCGAACTCGAGGAAACACCACCAACGTGTTGATTCAAATACTTTGATCGACTAGAAGAGGATGAAGCACTTACTGGACTATTGTTATTTGTTGACGATGAACGTTCTAATGGTTCTGATGAATTATTAGAATGATTGTGTTGACTTTTGTTCTCGTGCATCAATACTATTTCACTGACTGAACATTGACGTTCGTTGAGTGCCATACTTTGACGTATTGTCGGTGAACTTTCTGAACTTTCATGCTTTATTTTAACCTATTTAATGATAATTTTTAATGTCATTATATTTGAATCAAAAGTTTATTCATTAAATCATGTACACATGTGTTTTAATAAAACACGAACCTTCTCTTCATCGTGTTCTTCATTCTCTGCTTCATCCTGGCCCTTTCTTCTCCTTTGAATTTTCCTGTTAGCTGCAGATATGATTGAAGATACAATGTCCTTTGCTGATACCATTTCGCGCATGCCTGTTATATCAAAATAAGAAAAAAGCCAGCAAAATAAATAATAGCACATAGAAATAAATAAAAATAAAGTCGAAGCATTGCAATTAGCAAAATTATAATAATCGACTAATTTATGATATTCTAATGTGTTTTCTTTTTTTTTTTTTTTTTATTTATTATAAAATAAAATGAATTCAACTAAATAAAATGAGTGATACAAATTCACACATATCTAATTTATTAAAACTAATGGAAATATATTTGAATAAAAAAAAATCGTTGATCTGTTAATATACCTTCAACTTTATGTATATTGTTTAGCAGTAGATTATGATTACTATGGGATGTTGGTTCAAGCTCACAACCATCAGCTGGAAGACTTATGTTAACACTAAGTCTACTTAAATCATCGAGATCTTCTTCCGAGAAGAACCAATCAACCTATATCACAAATTTAAATTAAACATTTGTAAAATAATTCAATATACATATATATTGTTTTAATACTTACATTGTTTAATAAACTTTCGACTATTTTACATTGATGAGACATATCAGTGACCATTGTAACCATATTATCCCTTGAACCACTTGCCCGTACTAATGTCGGCCCAAAAACGATTGCTATGTTTTTAGCTTCCATTTTATTGATTTCACTGTGTTCTACGATTCTCTTCAAATGAAACATTAAATATTTGAGCGTTTCAAAATGATGTTCTGGAAGATCTCTTAATAATTTTCTTATTGTAGCCATTCTCCTTTGTGGATCTTCAATTTTATCAGCATCAATGAACATGGGATACAATTCTGCAGTTAACAACGAATCTGGTAATTGTCGGAAGAAAGATTTCAATAATGAAGATATCACATTCACGTCACTCCATCTTGGATCCTATCAAAAAGAATTAATTTATTAAGATGAAACGATTTAATTTATCTTAATATTATTTAATGAAATATAAAAGTATCTTTATATACCTGTAGATTAATATTCTCAAATCCTTTATTTACACTCTCAGTAAGCTGAGAAATGGCAGCAGTATTTCCTGGCACTCTGTAAATTCCAACAACCTCAAGGCCACGTGCCTCAACTATGCTAGTGCACATTTCAACTATAAGAGGTACAAATTCCGAAAAGGAAGACTACAACAAATTATTAAATAACAATGTAATAAAATAAAATAGATTTTTGTTTGATTAACTTTACGAAATGTTTCTAATTACCGATGGACAAAGTTCAAGGGGTACTTTAAAGGTGGCACCTTCCGGTGGTAATTGTGCAGTAGGCGATGATGGTGAACCAGCTTGTTGACCATGCATTTTTCTAAATTGTTTAGCTACCCTACCCTTCCAAGTTTTAGTTTTTGGTGATGAAAGTGGTTCCACAGTTTGACTTGGTTTTCTTGTTTTATTAACTGGCGATTGTCCAGTTGGTGATCTATTTCTAAATGATGTTAACTTCTTAATACCTTTGTGGCTGGGTAAGGGACTCAGTCTTTGATTAGCATTTTGAACAGAGGCAACACTGGGTGTTGTTGGTCCGGGAGTTTGTGGTACTGCTTGTTGTTTTGAAGTACTAGATGTTACATCCTAAAAATCAAATATTAATAATTAGAAATACTGTACAAATAATTTGCTTCAAAATATGAAGAAATGTATATTTACCAATGGCTTTTCAGTAGCAGCGTATTTATGAAGTGCTCTTAACCAAAGAGCCATAGAAGCTGCATCTTCTGTTTGTAAAAGCACTTCTGCTGTAGGATTAACCACTCGTAAAACATGTTTTCGTTTGGTGTAATCCTCAGCAATATCCACCAATGAACACCTTACATCAATATTTTGTACAGTACCTTCAGTATCGTTAACCGATGAAGGGCTCTGTATAATAATACAATTAATTATAATTATTTATCATGATATTAATGATAAAAAAGTAATTAAATTGCTTTTAATTTACCTGACTGTGACGATCCTTGTAAAAGAATAAAATTGGACCTCGAAGAACACCCCAAATTTGCTTCCAGGAACGATCAGAAGATCGCTGCAATATATACAGAAATATTATTATTAATAATTTGTTATAAACTTATTGTTAAATAAAATAATATCAAGACATTTCATTTACCTTGCCATCGAGCACTGTAAATTTAATATGAAGTGTGCCTTCCCGTTCAACTGGTTCAACCTCCTTCGGAATTTCATTGCCACTATCCGTGGTACTTACAATACTGTTACTGTAATAATTCAAACAAACAAATTAATACATCATATTTCAATATTAATGTTGTACTTTAAACGAATCACAGACAATCAACATATAAAGTGTTACGTTGTGTAGTCACTGAAAATTTATATACATTTGATGAGAAACATTTTTTTTTTTTTTTTTTATTAACAATTATGAATTTGATTTCATGAGAATGATCATTCAATGAAATATATATATA